AGATGTTTCCGCATATAAAAGCTATCTTCAAGTTTTGTACACCAAAAAAAAAAAATTTCAAACATATCTTGTTGTTGTGATTAAATTAAAATAATATTTACACACACTTTCAATGAGATTAATGCGGTTTTATCATTTTTATTAATACAAATTGACGCTGATACACAATCGTATAAAAATATTTAATTTTTTAAAAAATGTAAAGAGCGAGTATAAAAAAAAATAGTATATATATATATTAAACACTACAATAACAATAATTATATTTTGCACTTCAAAACTGGTTTTGGTAGGGACCAGATTACTGAACAAGTAATTTGTTAAAAATAAAAAGTGTCTAGTTTGTAGTTAAACACAAAGCTACACAATGGGCTATCTGTGCTCTGCCCACCACGAGTATCGAAACCTGGTTTTGAGCGTTGTAAGTCAGCAGACATACCTCTGTTCTACTGGGGGGGGGGGGATAAAAAGTGAATTGAAACTAGTAATATGCATACAAATCTAGGATAATTGGTAAACAAAGACGAGGTTTTTTGGTTTGTCGTCACCAAATACACATGGCAGGTCGTTCACAATCACACGAAACTGGTAAAAATAGAAATATACTCTAAAGTAAAGTAAAGTAAAGTGAAAATTATGGCAACCATAAAAATAAAATGTATAAAAATTATGACAAAGTTTCATATTTTTTATGTAAGTAATACGTTTTTGTTTTGTGTTAGATGTCCACTACACTTTACTTGATTTACAAAATAACATGACAAGTGAAGGTAATTTAAAACCCGTGATATTGGGACCCCTGATGGTGAAAATAGTCCACCTTCTGACTGTATAAAGTACAATATTGGTGCGTTTTATTTATACCTTGAGTTTCATTTTTCTCCGAACATACTTCCTTAAAATAGCATTCTAAGGAATGTAGAACAGATTACAACGAAAATTCATTAAATAACACATTTTGTGATCAGTGGAGGTCAATTATAGGTGATAAAAATAATTGAGGTTACATGTTACTCAGATGAACGTAAATGCGCTTAGAAAAACACACAGTAGGAAAGACCACAAGACGTGAAAAAAATAATGACAAAAAGGTGTTCAAAATTGGTAAAACACACGCCTATGACAAAACTTTATATTTATTTGCAAAGTTTCTGGCAGTTAAAACCGTGTTACATTGAAAAAAGGCTTAGACAGAATAGTTGAATATAAAGAGATTCTAAATTACGTACGTAGTTCATGGAGCACGTTAGCAAAAATATTGTTAGAAGGAACATTGTTGAAGCGGTTCTAAAAACAATTTTAAAAATGGAAAACTAATATTAAAGCGATAGAAATATATTTCCCCGATCATCATTATTATTATTAAATTACTATTTTATCATTTTTCGAATTTATGTTCATTACTTTTCTGTGTCCTTTTAATTTCTAAAATCCAGTTTCTATCACTTTAATACTTGTGTGCTTTACCCATTTTGAACACATTTTTTTTTCATTATTTCGTAAATGCGCTTACATTTAACCTTTTATTAACGCGACTGGTGAAAAAATGTCATTGAAAGTATGTCTCAGTTGCATAGTGCGTCATATTTTCTTTCATATCATTTAGCGTCATCTATAGGTAGATTGGGGTGGAATCTAAAATCAAAATCATACAGCTTACAAAATCGCTCCATAGATGGCTCTAGTGCAATAATATTACTTATATATTATTAAAACATTTTTTGTTAAGGGAGTTAACAATAATTTTCTTTTTGAATTTTAATTCATGTGACATTTCATCTCGACTTACTAAATTTTATAAATAACTCGCAATGTATACACAACTACAAGTTATTAAAATAAGAAACCCAATCTTTTAGGGATAAATTTTATGCTAATACTAATGTGACATTCGTTTAGGTGTTTCTTTGAGCCTTTACTTACATTCGTTGACTTTCTTGATTATTTATAACTGCAGATAATACTTAACAAACAGTCAATATTCGAAATAATAAACATACAAAAATTGCAAATAAAGAAAAATAAAGTGTAAGAAAATTTAATTTTTGTCAGTATATAACTTTCGGATTCCAGATCCCTAATGGTGGTTTTACGAAGATATGTATACTTTCACGTGATATGCTCTGAGGGACAGCATGATGGGATACAAGAGACATGGCCGCTGCTTGAATTCCACTTTGAACACAGGTCAGAACGTTTTGTTTTCGAAGTATTCCGCTCATAATGCCTGATGCTAAGCTGAAACAAATAAGGTAAAATTATTACGTCACAATAATTTAAGCGAATTTAGGTAAGTAACAAGGGAGAAGAACGTCATTCCATGAGTGCCCACAGATATTTTTCCAGGGGAGGGGAGAAGTAGTGTGAAATTGTGAAGTGGATAAAAAAATTAATATACATGTGCGGAATAAATAAATAAATAATAATGTTTCTCATTTTCCATGGGGGCAAGTGCCCCCTCTTCCACCCCACCCCCATATCAAACAAAGCAAGAGCAATCTTTCCAAATTTAAACATGACACTTACAATATTTTACAAGTGCTTATGTTGTCTAAAATACCAATGAAACAAAAGTTGTTTAGTTTCTGTTTTCACATCAGTCTGCATTCAATCAAAATAAGTTAGGTTTGTATCAGTACAGTTCCGTGTACTATTTAAACATAGCGAAACCACACAGTACTACTACTATGTTAAATCATGATGATAGTCGTAAAAAGTAACGATATTTAGAAGTGTTTTCAAAGGTATCGGGCCGGCATGGCCAGGTGGTTAGGGCGTTAGATTCGCAATCTGTGGGTCGCGGATTCGAATCCCCATCACACCAAACATGCTCGCCCTTTCACCCGTGGGGGCGTAATAATGTGACGGTCAATCCCACTATTCGTTGGTAAAATAGTAGCCCAAGAGTTGGCGGTGGGTGGTGATGACTAGCTGCCTTCCCTCTAGTCTTACACTGCAGATGGTCCTCTTGTAGCTTTGCGCGAAATTCATAACAAACAAACAAACAATTCAAAGGTATCGTATTAGTATATCGCAGTGTAACACCTCAAATACTTCCTTCAATGGTGTAGTAAGCAGCGGGGCGCTCCCCAGTTTTAAATCCGTCCCAGTAAAAATGCATCAAATTTTAAAAAATTACTTTCAGGAAAACCAAGAGTACGCATAAAATTTAATCCAGAAGCCAAGGCCCAAGAGCTTCCAGAGCCTTAAGGCGAGCCCTGGACTCCGTTCTATAATGGGTGCGCTTGTGGCGTACATTCCCTCGTTTCGCTCGGTCAATAAACCTTGTCCCCCTCCCCACTTTTAATTTACCTCCTACACCTACCTCTGTCCTTTGTACGTCAAACTAAAAATAATACGTTCTCTCTGTTTGCTTCTACTTTTAGATTATTCGACAGATAATTAATGTATAATTAGTGGTACAGTCACCTATTCGACAGATAATTAATGTATAATTAGTGGTTCAGTCACTCATTTCAGAACTTAGTTTTCCTCTCAGATGAAACTAGAAAATAACTGAGGTCTGCGGTACAAATAACATTGTTCATTAAAACAGCTGATTTAATATAAACTACATTAAGTTATGAAATTATAAAAAAATATTTTGTTTGTTGGTTGTGATGCATAATAAGTCTTGTACCATTCTTTTTTGAACAATGTAACTTGTGAATCCTTGTTTCGTGATTGCTATCCACTGTGCTATTATATTTTTTATTTATTTTTGCACAGAATAAAACAATGAGTTTTAGTGTTAGTGATTTTAATGTCGTTGTCTTGTTTTTCTTTCAAACACAATCACTTACCAGTCACCAGCTCCCACGACACTGACGACCTTTTCAGGCACAACTGGCGGGTAGTAAATAGCCCTTACATTACCCTGAAATAAACAGTGAGTGCAAGGTAAAGCTTTGGTGTTTGCTTATTTTTTGTTTTGATTTTATAATAAAAATCAATTAAAACCCGTGCTTTTAATCTCTATATAACCAAACATTTGATTTTACGAATGATTTTTTTTTATGTTTTAAATAATTCTAAGCCGATTTTTATTCGCTAATCACAGCCAAACGCATTGAGAATATATGAAATGGAAAAATAAATATTTTATCCCAAACTGAATCTTTCATATGATGGTGTACCTCGTCCAATTAAATCCTCTTATTTCAAAGGGTTTATTTAAACCTTGTCCTCATTACAACAGTTTAAATTATTACGAACATCTGACCTTTTTAGCAGCTGATGAACTTTGGCATACAGGAAAACTGCTTCCATCGTCTTCCAGAGTTGTTACGAGCATCATTCCCTTACTGCCCAATGTCACCACTAGGGTGTGCATGTGTTCTAAGAACGGGAGGCTCAGCTGTACGCACTCTTTACACATAGTGTCGAGATCAGTGCTATCTGTAGGAAAACCGAAATATGTAATTACTGAAAGGCGGGAAATGTCATTTTCAGTCTAGATAACTCGACATTCAACAAAACATACGAGAATTTAAGATAAAAGATATATAAGTTGATCACTCTCTCTAATGTTTTTCAGAAAATAAAAACAAATTAAGAATAAACAGAAATTAATAAACATGTCTAATGTTTTTCAGAAAATAATAATAAAAAAAGAATAAAAAGGAATTAATAAACATGTCCAATCTAGGTGTACCTTGTGATAGTTACAGTGGTGGGACTGACATAATGTGTAGCAATTTTTTCAATTATATACAGCGAAGCTCAAGAAAGAAAATATTAAAAGTTTAAGGTTTTTTTTGCGTCTCTACTTTCTTGGACCTTTTTAGGACTGAAATAGTTTCGATTATAAAAGCTACCACAGTTTTCTTGGGCAAAATTACTTTTTAGTTTCAATTGTATATTTTGCTTCTAACTTTACACAATAGATTATTGCGCATTTTTAAACGTTGAAATTCTTTCTTATTTTAAGAACTTACTTGTTTCGTTAATAAACTGGCCACAGAGGGCTTTGTGCATCACTCGAAGTTCGTTAATGTTTGGAGAAGCGTAAGTCAACACTTTCCACGTACCGTTTGGTAGAAGAAAAGGTATGCCCGCCTTATGAATATCTGTTGGCTCGAACCATGCTGGAATAAAGTACACCCATTACTACGTGTACCAAGAAAATCGAAATTTGCAATTATCCGACTAGCTTCACTATATTACAGCAATAAAATGAACATCAATACTTTACATGAGCTACACCCATTACTACATGTACCAAGAAAATCGAAATTTGCAATTATCCGATTAACTTCACTATATTACAGCAATAAAATGAACATCAATACTTTACACGAGCTACACCCATTACTACGTGTACCAAGAAAATCGAAATTTGCAATTATCCGATTAACTTCACTATATTACAGCAATAAAATGAACATCAATACTTTACATGAGCTACACCCATTACTACGTGTACCAAGATAATCGAAATTTGTAATTATCCGACTAACTTCACTATATTACAGCAATAAAATGAACATCAATACTTTAGATGAGCATGTTGAAAGTTGCTAAAACTGACAACCTGTTTTATTATAAACTTTTATTTCCGTGTGTCACCATAGACAGTCTGCTACTGGATTGGACATTCGGCGACCTTTCGATCCACATTCGTGCTTTTCCGTGTGTCACCATAGACAGTCTGCTACTGGATTGGACATTCGGCGACCTTTCGATCCTCATTCGTGCTTTTTTTTCCCCCCAGACCAGAAAAGTTAGAACGTAATGCATTGATTATTAGGACTTTTTATTTTCGGTTTAAACTTGGGTTGTTTTGTAAAGAACAAGGAAATTGCTTTGTTAGCGGTCATTTCTGTAACATCCAGTTCTGGTGGTACTAGCTTAGCGTGATAATATTGAAGTTTATATAGTATTGTAAAGATCACTTAAAGTGCTTTGTTAACAGCTGCTCCTGTAACATCCAGTTCTGGAGTTACTAGCTTAGTGTAATAATATTGGAGTTTATATAGTATTGTAAAGATTACTTAAAGTGCTTTGTTAATAGCTGTTCCTGTAACATCCAGTTCTGGAGTTACTAGCTTAGTGTAATAATATTGAAGTTTATATAGTGTTGTAAAGATCACTTAAAGTGCTTTGGTAACAGCCGCTTCTGTGACATCTGTAACGAATTTGTTGTCATGTATTTATTTTTAATATGAACGTTATTTAGATTAAGTTTGTATTTGGAAGTATGCGTAACTTATAGT